ATTGCTTCCTTCCTAAAGCTGAGAGGGTGTGACTGGCCGAAAGTCACCCAGCTGGTTTCATGCCTGTGGGACTAGAATTCATGGTCTCCCAGTTTCTAGCCTGATGCCTTAGCCACTCCACAGTATTATAGAATTGGCTATATAGCCATAGTAAATACTTAAATGGGTTAGGGTGTCATTCCATATCCTCATAGCATTATGTACGCAGAGTCAGCTCTAACCTTCTAAACACCTTCTAGCGTGGGCTTTTCCAATGTCAATGGCTGTTGAACTCTGACCTTACTTGCCATTTTGCAAGTAAGTTTTGTGGTATCTGAAACACTAGGGGTAATATAAAAAGCAAACATCAATATGGCTGGGCCTTACTAGACTTTGAGAGTTTAGGAATACCATGTTTGAACCCAGATTTGGGTTTAGGCTCCTGACATGGAATTACCACTATTACACTTCTTAGAATTCTTTGGCATAACTATGACAGGAAACTGGTAGAGAATTAGTATTTTCCTGTAGTGTAGACACAGCCATTGTCTATGCTGTATCACTGCATTAACCAGTTATGATATTGCAGTAATGGTTTTGATAGTTTTGTCCATACTGAAAGGTGCACCCCAAAAGATGGTCCCAACAGATTAACAAAAATAAGCATATATTACATAATCTTGTGCTACAGAGGTGATCCTTATGTTTCCATAGATTCTTTTATGTGGAGATCATTGCATTGTTCTTCATGTGGGATAACAAGGAAAAATATCTAAGGCACCTTCTGGGTTGAGTTGACCTTTTAACTTGATCAGGCTAATGCTTTCTATAGGCTGTTTGCTTTACTTGCAGATTATGCTTTATTTGCACTGTAAGGTTATTAAGGACAATAAAATCTCAGTCTGGGACTGTTAACCTGAAGTGTCCCATGTCTGAACTACATCAGCTAAAGAACTTAGTCCACACTTGAAAAACATAACCAAGAGAACTAGTGACTTGATCTGCATTACAAAGCTTCAAACCACTTTATGTACTATGACTTTACACAATCATTCTGGACAGTAGAGCTATGTGAAGCATTCAAAACAGACCCTTTGCATCATTTAAGAGTGCAAGGGAAGCACCCCTCTTCAAATAATTAAAGGAAACTTGTTTTCTAGAAGACTTGCCGCAGCTGCATTGAAGACTGTCCTTTGTCTTCTGCATGTACACGCACA